CTATGAGCTTTTCAGGAATGACATTTTTTTTTTTCAGGATGACAAATGCAAATAGACAATGTAAGGTACACATTGACTAAATTGTAGTTGTTTGGCTTGCACCTAAAAAATACTTGTTTAAGCTTTTATGTTGATACAGTGTACACACTTTCAGAAAAATAGGTACTGTGGCTGTCACTGGGGAGATACCCTTTCAAAATGTACACTTTTGTACTTTATTTATCTCCAATTGGTAATTATTAATACCTAAAGTGTACATATTAGTACCTAAATGCTACATATTAGCACCTTTTGAAAGGGTACTGACCCAGTGACTGATTTTGCACCATTTTGATTTGTTCATTGCATCTGTCATGTGGCGAATGCATTACAATGCATTATAATGATTTCCTAATTTGTAATATGATCAGATATTGCATATGTGCACATTCACAAGAGACAAAGATTAGTTCATTTTGTCAAACGAGAGAGTCAGTAAAATGATCCATTCTTTTTATCTTAGAGTCCTTCTTTGTCTTCAATTTTTTTTGTGGCAGTTGGCACACAAAGTAAGGTGAATTAACAATCTGGTAGCCTAAGTGTGGATCAGGATTTCTTTATTTGTCTGTTGAATTGTGAGCTAAATTATGTCCTCTTATCTAACTGTTGCTTTTGTTTTATATATATATATATATATATATATAAACATTTATCATCTGAATTTCTTTTCAAAAAGTTTAGAAATTAATTCCTTTAATTATAAATATTTGAGACAGATAATCATCGCATCATCTTTTTTTCCAAAATTCATATTTCCCTGTGTTATGTTTCCCTCTTCTGTGTAATGTACTATTAAGAGCTGCATGTCAGAACCTAGGTCTGTAGATTATGGTTTCCTTTCTCTTCCTGCTATTTTATGTTTTGGTGAATTGGTGGCGAATTTCTATGAATGCATATAATCTTATTTAAATGTTTTCGTACGTTCTGGTTTTTTGTTTTTTTTTTACGCTGCACTATTGGTTAGATTTAAGAGTGTGTTAGTAGTGGACCTTCATGCTTATGTTTTCGTTTTGTTTTTTGTTTTTAAACACACATTTTTGTTTTACAGAATCACAGGACTCAAACGAACAAACTCAAACAAAATCGTCATAAAATAATTTTCTCATGAGATTTCTCATGATTAGGTTGAAATGTTATTACACTATCTACCTTCTATTCCTCCTCACGTTTTGCCATCTGCTCCTCATTCATTGTTTAATTTATACAGAGTGTCTATTTACACTAAGTGCAAACAGCCCGCCTTGTTGGCAGAGGCTATTTACACTAACTCCGCCCACCAACGTGTGACGCGGTTAGTCAACATTACAAAAGACAGTATCAGCTCCAGAAGTCGCTAGCTATCAGCTCCAGTGGCGCAGATAGTAGAACACGTGTTGTAGGCCTACTCATTTTGACGCGAGTCACGAGACCGACCCCAGTAGTCAACCCGGTTTCAAATCCGCCTTTTGGTGAACTTTTTTTTCTTCCTTTTCGAATTTCAAATCACATCAGAAAAGCATTTATTTTCAATGAAAATGAAAATAATCAAAAAGTTGAAAATAAAGTATCGGGTAGGGTTAGGGTAAGTGTAGAGAGGGTTTTATTGTCCCAATATGGTGGCAGCCATTTAATAATTTAATAATAATAATTAAGTTATTATTGCATACTGTTTTATAATGTACTACAATACTGAGGTGCAGATAATTGCCACTATTTGCAATAAGTAGTATAAATAGCAGAAAATCCTGCTATTTTAACATAGTGTAAATAGCGTCTATCGCTAAGAAAATATGCTATTTTCACTTAGTGAACTGAAGCCACCAAAGTACCATATCTGTGATGCCTAAGACAGTTCGCTTTTTTCAGAGTTTCAGCAACGGTCAGCAAGGTGGTCTCCGTGGAGTGTCTGCTTTTGAAGCTGGACTGCTTGTTGTCAAGTAGGTAATTCTGTAAAAGAAAAGCAAACAGCTAATTGAACACAACTCTATCAAGCATTTTAGACAGAAAAGGCAGAAGAGAGACTGATCTATAATTTACAACTGCTGTGGGGTTAAGTGTTGGCTTTTTGAGGAGTGGGGTTACCCGAACCTGCTTAAATACGGTGGGAAATTTTCCAGTAGCAATGGATATGTTGATGATGTAAGTGAGAGTGGGTAGCAATGTTTGTGAGGTCTCTTGCAGTAGATGGAAGGGGACAGGGTCTGATGAACAGGTTGAGGGACAGCTGGTACAGAGAACTTTGGAGACCTCATTCTCTGTAAAGGCGAGGATGGAAGAGAATAAATGAATGTGTGGGTGGAGGTCAGCTGTGGGTACAGAACTGGTTGCTGATGGTTGCTTCCTTGTCAGTGAAGTAGCTGGTGAAGTCATCAGCATTCAGAGAAGAAGTGGGAGGAGGTGGAAGGGGGAATAAATAGAGGAGAATGAATAGTCTCTATGTGTCTGATGTGTTGCTGATTTTGTTTTGGTAGTAGGCTAGCTTGGCAGGAAGGATGTTAATGTGTAGCACAGAGGGACTACATCTGGTCACTTCCTGCATTTTCTCTGATCAGATAGCTATCTGATCGAGAAAAGACTAGGTGTTAATGACCTCTGAAATGCTTTCGAAATGGATTTAAATCCGATCACTCAAACCACTTCAGGAGGTGGTCTGAGACGCATTCCAGACAAAACTGGATAAGTGTAAATGCTGGTTGTTGAAAGCACATATATAAATTTTACTCCTCCCAAAATGTTAAAATAATAAATGTGTGAGAGCGTGTTATAAGCTATATGATTTGTTATAATCACCCTTACGAAAAAGAAGTTTATTCAAGTGTGCTATTAGTATTAAAATAATTACATCTTCTGTAGAGAATTTCCAAAAAACACAAAAAAACACAGTTTGAGAGGAAGCTTTGAGAGAGCATCCTCTCAAACAACTTAATAAAGTCACACCCATACTCCTCTTGGGGGCCGATCAAACACACCTGATTACCCCAACACAACCAGTGAAATTGGGCCCTCCTGGAGCCCCTGTTGCAATTAAAACCCGACTCGGCTGGACACTGCAGGGTCCTGCAAGGGATCTCACCAACTCTTCCTCCACTCATTTTCACTATATCTCCTTTAAATGCCCACCTGATGACATCGACCACAATGTACAGAAGCTGTGGCAGCTGGATGCACTACCTCAGAGAAGCATGAAAGCAGTGGTTCGATCGAAACAGGATCAAGAGGCAATGCACCAGCTTGAGCCCAAAACCATCAGAACACCTGTTGATGGCATCCTCCGATATGCCGCACCTCTCCTGCGGGTAGAACCCTGGCCCCCTCTGAAGGCCCCCAAGGAGGCAGTAATGTCCCGTCTTCGCAGCTGTGAAAGGCGACTCCTTCAAAAGCCACAACAAGCGAAAACCTATAACAGAGAGATCCGGAAACTAATTGATGCTGGATATGTCAACAAGTTGTCCTCATCTGGAGTGAAGGATGTCCCTGAATCCTGGTACATACCCCACCACATTGTGCATCACAACAGTAAAGACTGCATTGTGTTTGATTGTTCCTTCTCCTACCGAAATCAATGTCTAAATTCACAGTTACTTCCTGGACCAATGCTTGGGCCTTCCCTACTTGGAGTTCTGCTCCGTTTTAGGCAGCATAAAACTGCAATCAGTGGAGACATTAAATCAATGTTTCACCAGGTGCGCCTGTTACCTCAGGATAAACCTCTCCTGCGATTCCTCTGGCGTGACCTGGACTGCAAAGCGCCTCCAACTGTGTATGAATGGCAAGTTCTCCCCTTTGGCACGACCGCTTGCTAGCCAGTACGATCTCCCTCATAATCTCCTAGAAGCCTGGCTTTTGTGGGAAAGCGAACTCCCTGCTCTCTCCACAATCACTTTGCCTCGCTGCCTCACACCTCAGTCAATAAACTCCTCCTCAGCCACCCATGACCTTCACATCTTCTGTGACGCATCAGAGAAGTCCTATAGTGCAGTTGCTTATATGCGTACAGAAGATCATCAGCAGGTGTACGTGTCCTTCCTCATGGCAAGATCCCGCATTGCTCCCAAAAAACAGCTATCCATTCCACGACTTGAATTATGTGCAGCTCTCATAGGAGCTCAGCTATCTAGTCTCCTCCTAACAGAGCTCACCCTCTATATCGGAAAGACTACTCTGTGGACTGACTCTACGACTGTTCTACATTGGCTTCTCTCTGATTCTTGTCGCTACAAGGTCTTTGTCGGAACCAGGGTAGCTGAGATTCAGGAGCTCACTAAAGGCCAGGAATGGCATTATGTGGATTCACAGAACAACCCAGCGGATGACTTAACCAGAGGAAAACTGCTGTCTGATCTTGGCAGACCCTGCAGGTGGAACCAAGGACCTGCCTTCCTGTTTCAACCCCTTGAACTGTGGCCCACTAACCCTAATATCGATCAATCTGATGACCTTGTAGAGCTACGCAAGCCTAATTTCTGTGGTGCTGTATCCCTCAATCCATACCCCTCCATCCCTGACCCAGTCAATTTGCCACCTTCCAAGACCTCCTTGACTGCATGGCTAGCTCCCTTCATGGGGCGGAAAATCCTCCATCAGCAGAAAACTACTGTGATGCAGAGACTGCAATCCTAAAATGAGCCCAGATGGATTCATTCAGGGATTATTTGGCCTGCCTTCAAATTCAAAAGCCCCTTCTACCTTCAAGCCGTTTACTCTCCCTTGCCCCAGAGTTGGACCCAGCATCAGGGCTCATTCGGGTAGGCGGAAGATTACGTCAGAGTAGCGATCTACTCCCTGATGCCATTCATCCAGTTGTCCTGGAGCCGGCACATCCTATCACAAAACTTATAGTTAAGGATTATGATGACCACCTACACCATCCTGGGGCAGAAAGGCTTTTTGCTGAATTAAGGAGAAAGTGCTGGATTCTGAGGGGTCGTGAGGTGGTCCGAAAATATCAGCATAGGTGCCCTAAGTGCCAGCAGTTCCGTGCCCATCCTATTATTCCCCGAATGGCAGATCTTCCTCCAGCCCGCCTCCGCCTTTGCAAACCTCCATTCTACTCCACCGGGGTGGATTGCTTCGGGCCCTACACAGTAAAGATTGGCAGACGAGCTGAGAAGAGGTGGGGAATAATTTTTAAATGTCTGACTACTAGGTGCGTGCACCTTGATCTACTCGGTCACATGAATACAGATTCCTTCTTGATGGCACTCCGGCGTTTCATTGCTCGTAAAGGTAAACCATTTGAGCTGCTCTCTGACAGAGGTACCAACTTCATTGGAGGCAATAAAGAGCTACTGGAATCCTATAAATCCTTAACCCCTGACCTTCAAGCAGCTCTGGCCAAGCAGAAGATTTTCTTCCAATTTAATCCTCCACACGCGCCCCACTTTGGTGGAACCTGGGAGCGCGAAATACGCTCCATCAAAATTGCCCTGGAGACCACCCTTGGTGCTCAAACTGTAAGTGAAGAGGTATTACGTACAGTCATGATTGAAATAGAAGGCATTCTAAATTCCAAGCCCTTAGGCTATGTCTCATCTGACATTGCTGATCCTGACCCTGTGACCCCTAATTTGCTGCTGATGGGGCGGCATGATGCTTCCCTTCCTCTCGTAACATATCCAGACTCTGAGCTGCACAGTCGCCGTCAATGGCGTCATAGTCAAATCCTTTCTGATCATTTTTGGGCTCATTTCATCAGAAATTACCTCCCCTCACTTCAGTCCAGACAGAAGTGGCGCACCGACAATCCTAACCTGCAACCTAGCACTGTCGTCTTGGTTCTTGATCCTCAACTTCCCCGATCTCAGTGGTCAGTGGGCAAAGTCATCTCCCTCCATCCCAGCAAGGATGGCCGTTGTAGGGTTGCTGATGTCCAAGTCAAGGACAGGACATACACAAGGCCCGTTGCCCACCTTGTTCCTCTCCCGGCCCTACCTGATCCTCCGTAAATTGTCAAATTTGCACTACAAATTTGGGGGCGGCTGTTGTAAAGTTTTTGTGTCCCTAAGCTGCACCCTCAAAGCAGTGCCACACCCCCCTTAGCCTGTTCAGTTCCCTGTTAGCCCCAAGCTCCTCCCACCCACCCAATCTCAAGCCAATTAGAGCCATCTCACAGACTTTATTAGCTGCACCTGTGTCCACAGCCTATGCTTTGTTGCATGTGGTTGTACTGTGCAGAGGACTGAGTTTTACTCCTTCCATTCTGTTTTTCCTGCGTGTGCATAATTGACCATGTAAGTGCCTTTGTGTGATGCTGAATATTATTTTGTATGACTTAAGTTTGGCCTAAATGTGTTTATTTATGCTTGCTCTAGTTCCTGTTTAGGCATGTGCTTTAGTTATTTAATGTGCAGTTGATGGAACATTGTGGTTGCCTTGTACCTTATTTAGCACTGTTAATGGTAAACTAAAACTCTGTATATTTGTTCCCCTTTATAGAAACCACACGCACATCTACATGCACAAAACTCCTTGGATGTGATGTACAATAAACTTCCCTATACCTGGGTTGACTATACTGGACCTGTTCTTACCGACAGCCCCACTGGCTTCAAGCTAGCTACCTAAACATCTGCCAGTCTCCTCACGCATCCTCCTTTTCAGTGGTATACTTAAAGTATGAAAGTAAAGTTCACTTAAAGAACTTGCAGTATAAAACTACTAAACTAGTAGTTTACTGAGACTATACTTCAAAGTGTACTAAAAATGCTACTACAAGTATTTAATTAGTAAACTATCAGTATACCTATAAGTTCACTTTTAGTATAGTTGCAGTACAAGCTAAAAAATATTGATGTAAACTAGTTTTTTTTTAAAGTGTACTCAAAGTTTACAACTGTTATACTTAAAGTATACTTAAAAGTATACTTTTATATAATAGAAAGTGGGCCAATTTAGTCCCAAGGAGTATTGAAATAGTACACTTACAAGTATTCTACTAGTACACTGATATTTGTATACTTACTACATAAAGTATACTTAAAAATATACTTGAACTTTACTTAAGTATACTTAATAAAATAAACTTGAAGTATAGCCTACTACTTTTTGGTAAGGGCAAGTATGGCACCACTAATGCAACACGCATTGCCGCAGATGGGTAGCTGAATGTTTCTTTAGCAAACGATGTGCAAACTGCCCCAAATGAAACTGAAAGTCGCAGACGCTCAACACACAATCATCTTTATTAAAAGTAGTGAGACTCATTTATCTTACAAGTGCTGATGCCTCTCCTATTGCGGTCTTTGATCTTAGTTGGCTTACAATGAATAAAATGCAGTGCATATCTGCTGCTTTTGTTGGCGGGAATTCCATTAAATTTGCATACAGCATGAGACGTGAAAATCGGCTTTACATCCGTTTTGCTGACAAATTTATACGGCCAGGTGTAAATGGAACCATTTTAACAAATCAGGAGGGTTACTTTTAAAATGTATTCAGTTACAGTTACAAATTACTTCATTAAAAAAGTATTCAGTAACGTAATCCAAGTACCACAATATAAAAGTAATGTAATCTGATTACTTTTGAATTACTTTAAATTACATATGTAAATAAGTAAAAAAAAAAAAAGTACTTTTACTTAACTATGACTTTAAGATTAAAACTAATAAAAACTAAAACACTATTTGAAACTATTAAAAATCGTGTCTTGTTTCACCATCTAGATATTCCAGCCCGTATATTTCTATAAAAGGCTATGCAGACATCTAGTGGCTATACAGTTTAGTATTACAGTTTTATTTTTATTATTATTTTTTATTACTTTAACATGTACAAGTAAAAATAAATATAGTTTATACACCTTTAAAAATCTACTCCGTATACATATTAGTCTATTTTAAAATAAGCCTACATGTCGAAATGCATGTGAAATGCTATGATTTTTCTTTATTTCATTGCCTGATCTGGGGTGTGGGGACTCTCATGTAATTTCTACATTTTCAGACTCGTTTTTCGCTAGAAAACTTACAACTGCACTCATGCACACCATGGAATTTTAAATCACTCACAAACACTAAATTTTAGCTAACATGATGATTTCCATGCTAGTCGTACCTGCAAATGTTCAAGTTGGTTGAGTAGCCTTTGTTAAAGCAAGAGTCGTCATGCATAGCTTACGCTGTACAACTATGTTATTTCCTTTATCCTCTTTGAAAACAAAATAACTGTGAAATTTCCAGACATGAAAACGTTTTTCACAGCAGGAAACATCGTAATTAATTTACTGTAGCAGCCAGTGTCTGTCAGTTTGAGGAGAATAATCGTAGACGGGTGTTATTTGCGCACGCACCAGCAGGCGGCTAACGCTAGTCAACAGGTGTCAACAGAACCAGGAACCATGCAGCGCTAAATATATAGCGTTAAATCAAAATACTCATTTATTTAATTTTAAATGAAACCAATGTAATCCTAATAGTATTCCCACTTTTTACAAAATGTAACTGTAATCTGAATACTTTGTTTGTTGATGTAACTGTAACGGATTACAGTTACTAGATTTCTGTATCCTGATTACGTAACGCTGTTACATGTATTCCGTTACTCCTCGACCCTGCCAATCAGATACCTGTTCAATCAGAGAAAACGCATGAAGTGACCAAGTGTAAACAGGCCCAGAGTGTCTGTTGCTTCACTGAGAAGAGAAGTGTAAATATGTGCAAGACAGAGAAAGTGGAAGTTGCAGCAAAAGGAGACAAGAGGAGGAGTCAGTGGTGAGCATGAAGGCAGCAGTGAGAGATTTGAAAACAGAAGTGGTCTGAGACATGTGGAGTAACAAGATGGTTATCAGTGGTGCAGTTAAGTGTTAGCATGAGGTCTTATTCTTTGCCTGCTTTGTATCGCAGGGGCGTGCTGTCTTGTGAGGTCAAATGAGATAGGAAGAGTTAGGAAGTCAGTCGCTTGAGATTTGTCTAGGTGGATGTTATTTGTCTAGGTGGTTGTGTTGCCCAATTGACCTGGTGGAAAGGTACATGACAACACGATGGAGTTTAGCAGGTTTAGTGACAGTGGACATGGTATTCAAAGAAGATGTAATTGCCTGGAGGAGATTCCAGGTGTTGGAAATGAGTAGACCCGCCCTGCCCAGTTGGACGAAGTGGGTGGGAGTAGCAGTGTTATGCTGTGATCCAAGTTTCAGTCAAAGCCAAAACATTATGATTTCACTGACTGGCAAAGGCCGGAATGAAGTCAGATATGTTGACAGCTGACTGATAGTTCTCTGATTGAGTCATAGCAGAGCCCACCTACTTCATTAACAGCTCAAATGCGCTACAGCTATACTGCTCACTCTGGTAGACAAATGCTTCTCTTGAGATTAGTACAAGCTCAAAATATTTTAATATTATATACTGCAACATGTATTACATCAATAATTCATGTAACCACAAGCTCAGCGTGGCAGATGTGGTTTATTTCTTCACAATACCCCACATTAGCTAAACATTCCTGTACTGTAACTCACAACATTGTGACTGCACTGTGTGTATTACTAGCACAGATGTGTATGTTTGGAACAGTCTTGTCTCTCTTATCTGATTAGTTGTGACTCAGCTTTCACAGAAGTTGTTCAGGAAACCTAAACCCAATGGTAAACCACTTATTTTGAATAGGTTATGATGCACACCAGAAACAGAAGTGCCACGCTGCCAAGTTCTCACAAGGCAACAGCCCAAAATCTAATTACTGAATCTAATCACCTTCTTCTTCTTCTTTAGGGTTTATTTCACTGAATGAACTGGTGCATTACCACTGGTGCATGGACCAGAGTGTCTATTATCTACAACAGAATGGAATGCAATACAGTGGAATGGAAGTGTGCAATCTCTGACAATCACAAAAGCGTGTAATCACATGCACATGCTGGCTGGCTTTTTGCATTCACTTTTGATTTATGTTCAGCAGAGAGGGGAGGGGAAGGGCACAGTAACTCATTTGAGGGAGCATGCTTCCACCTGGCGCCGGGCTTGATCTGCCGTTTCATTTTCTTTGACCAATGTGTGCTGGTATCCACAAAAATACTACTGTAAGCCCCATCATTTATATTCTATATAATGTTTCTTGCATCTCTGTCAAAATAGTTGGTCTGCTGTCTGAATGACAAAGTTGTAAACTGATTAACAATGAGCTTTGGTGGTCTTGCATCCTCTATCCACTGTAATCCTAACAGTATTGCAAGCAAACCGATATCTAATCACCTTATAGGTAAAATATCCACTTCTATGAGTTTTGATGTAAAAACCATGCAAACAGAAAAAAAATTCATATCAATATCATATCATATCATATTTTCAGCACTCTGTTGAGTGTACTGTTGATACATTCTGTGTATTTTATAAAAAATTGTACAAACTCTGTAGTTTTTATATTATTATTATTTCGAGATTAAGCATGTTCCTTGTAGGTTTTATGACAGGGTTAGATTAGGTTTAGGTTATATTTAGGTTACACATCATACTGTAAAAAAGCACCGTTGACGTTTAACTTTATTCTTTAGTCCTATTCTAGTCTCCCCCCACTATGACAACACAGCATCCGCATTTAGACCAATCAGCATGGAGACCACCGGCCGCAAGCGATCTGCCCTGCAGTTACAAATCTGGCAACAGAGACAAAGGCACAACTTTACCGTGACACAATCTAAATACGATGTGTTTTGCATAAATGCAAAGTAAGTAATCATTGTTTTTAGACTAATAGTTGCATGTATTTTTTCGCGATGTTTGCTTATACGCATGTCTGAGAAATGTGCATAAAATCGATATTTGTATATTTCTACCAGATTTATACTAATGATATTCTCTTAAAGTTATCGTTCATTTGTCATTTTTGTTGTTGGGTGTTTATGAAAGCTGTAACTTTATGGCTCAAGTAAACAACTTAGTCTGCGCATGCTCAGTTCAAACCAGATTATAGCCTAATTCTCAACTGTCTTCTCTTTTCATTTATT